AGCCAACATACTAAGAATGGCCAGAGAGTAGAAGGATATAGCACCTTGGTAGATTATTAAACACAGAGTTAGCAAGTCCTAAAACTCCCTTTCTTGACAAGAGGCATAATAAATTCCTTTACTGTTTAGCATGTTTTGTTTGGGGTTCTGTTACTTGTAACTGAAGGCATGCCTAGGGGTGAGTTATTCCCCTTTTACAAGATTGATGCACACAGAAGGTAAGTTGCTACCAAGATCATGTAGCTGCTAAGATAGAAGACTAGGGTTCAGAGCTGCTTAGCCACAAGCTACAACTTCTATGCAGTGGCCTTGGCCTTTCAGGTCTATATGAGTGAAGCAGTGCTGATTTAAAGCACGGTCCCTTTCAAGAACAAAATTTGTCGTACTATCATAGTCTGGCCCAGAGTAAGGTGTTGATGGTGCTGCGGTCTTCCTGGGTGCTGACCCCTTGTTAGGAAGATGGCTGCAATTTTGGTTTTTGTCAACTGTGTTTTGAACTTCATGATAAATCTCAGATTGATATTTGAATTCTTGGGTATGGGTGTATCTGAGTCTAAGGAATTATCACATATATACCTCATAAATATTTGTATGCATAAATATTATTAAGGTCACCTAGGAGTCACTCCTCACCCTTGTGAAGACACCATGAAGATATAATGTAGTTAAATCTGGGGGTCTCTGGAATGTTGTTGGAAGTGGTGATGTGGAGTTCAAGGTCATGAAAGTAACATGTCTGGGTGAAGGCTAAAATGGTAAAACAGTAGACTGGTGCAACATTTCTGGAAAACTGGAAAGTTAGATTGGCCTGTGACACAATGAAAAACTCTTTAGCATTACTTCTGTTATGGTTTGGATCTGAAATGTCCCCTACAGGCCATGTGCTTAAGGCTTAGTTGCCAGCTGGGTGGCATTATTAGGAGGTGGGGTGTCATTGGCAATAGTCTCTTGGGGGTGTCCCCTTGAAGGCTATGTCTTTCCCAGGCCTCTCTTCCTCTCTCTGCTTCCCAGCCTCCATGAGGTGAGCAGTTTTGTTCTACCATGTGATCTCCACCATGATGCTCAATTTTGTCTCAGGCCCAAAGTGATGGAACCAAGCAACCATGGATGGAAACCTCTGAAATTGAGCCAAGCAGACTCTTTTCTCCTTTTTAAGTTGCTTATGTCAGGGATTTTGTCACAGTGACAGTAAGTTGACTTATTCACCTTGGACAGAAAATACTGCTTTTTAGCTTAACAGATCATTTAGTATCACTAATGGCCTTCGTATGTGGAAGACATGAATACTTAGAGCAAACCATTGACTTCTTCTCACCTAAAATGTCTTCAAGACCTACATTCCTTGGTCAGTTATTGATTATATAGCTGATATGCTTGTAACATCCATTTCTGTTGGCTAATATTCATTAAGTTGATGTATTTTATACTTCATTTATTTAAAAAATAATATAAAGACCATAACAAAGCTACACTAATTCAATAAGATGGAAATAAAATTAAAGAAATTAGGCAAAAGTAAAGAGGAATGGAACAGAAAGATGAAGTCAGGAAGAACTTAGTACCTGGAAGAAGACTGTAAAGGATTGTGCGTGTGTGTTAAAGCTGGTATAGACTCCAGAGAGAGGTAGGAGTCATAGGCTCTATGCTAGAACCAGTCCCAATACTCAGGAGAGGCAGCAGTTGGCTTTCCCTCACACTACAGCTTGAGGGAATGTTTTCCTCTAGGTCTTTAGGAAGGGAGTACTGAATGTATACAAAATCCCCTAACTCCTATATTTACGACAAATACCCAGTTCTGCAAAGGTAGTTTATTGGGGGGCTAGAAGCAAAGCAGTGCCGCCCATGCTTCCATGTGAGACCCATGTGCCTAGCCTTCTTTTCCTCCAGGGAAGCAAAGATGCTAAACTGAATTCAAGTTCCAAACCTTAACATTTGTCAACTATGACTCCCATCCTTTTACAGTTGTGAAAATTGAAGCAATTAACTATGATTCTGAAAATTGGAGTCCGTATTTGAACTCATAGCCCTTAAGTTTATATCATTGACCTGTTCACTTGGCCTTCCTACTGTTTGTCTGTTTCATTGGGATTTTCTCAATCCTAGGGGTCTCTCTGGAGTTTAGAGTGAACCTATTTATGTTTTTGTCTGGGAATGCAACCTTCCAATGGAAAGACCTCTGTGCATGAACTTCAGGTATCTCTTTGTTTTGCAAAACATACACAGAAAGGTACAACTAAAAAAAAAGCTCAACTGATTCTAAGTTGTGATTCTTATGCTCCAAAGAGAAGGAGAAATTTAAACAAGAATCCTTTGGGAGAAAATCCCCAAACCAGCTCCTCTTTAGACTATACAGGTATTTCAGGATTAGGGTTGTTCTTAACAACCACACAACCCAGAATCTGGTTTGGGTATACAACTGAAAGCAAACTCAGTAGAAAACAATGTTCACAAAGAGTTTTGAGAAGTGAACATTTCACATGTTTGTACCCCAAGAGAGAGCACTGACTAGTAGCTTGGGGTGTAAAACTCAGATTCTTATTTTATAAAAAATTTGTGTAACTACACAGTGGTCTTCTGGAGTGAGCTTTTTCTTGCTCCTGGTTCTCCTGACCTACCTGGGGGTGACTGGAGATGCAGAAAGAACAAACAATAGAAGACATACATGCATAAAGTTGGGGCCAGGTGTGCTGGCCTTACTGCTTTATAATTCTTTAAAATCTTGCTTCTTTTCTATTCTTTAAAACCTCATTTCTAAAGTTATTCTTCCTTTCTGTTCTTTAAAGTCTCTTTTCTTAGACTCACACTGCCCCATGTTTTCTCTTTAGCTTTCTTAAAGTCTCGGTGCTCAGACTTGCAGACAAACAACAGCAGCTGCGTCTAAAACCTGCAGTAGCATAACTCTTAAAGTCTTGGCCCTCTGACTTGCACTGTCCCATGTTCTCTTTAGCTTTTCTTTAGCATAGCTTTTCTAAAGCCTATGTACAAAGTTCTCAGTGCAGAAAGCTGCTCTGGTGGAGACACACAGCCAGCAACAGCATCAGCCAATCAAAATCCCCCATCAAAAAGCCTCCACATCCTCCTTTAGTGGGTCTTTTATACCCAGTGATAAACAAGAAGGTGAGCAACAGTTCTCAGGGAGGGACACTGTAACAAGAGAAAGCTGCCTTCCTACTTCTGTGGATGTAAACAACTTAGGAAAGCAGCTGTGCTGCATTTTGCACTTATTGGGCCCAGCTGTGCTTATGTCAAGTTCTCATAAGCTTCTCGTAATCCGCTCCCCACAGTCTTCGATGCTGAGTTGGGATATTGGGCAGAGGCAATGAGTTTCAGCTTTGGCAGGCAAGGAGTGTCACGTAGCCCCTGGCCTGCACCTCTTGCTGTTCTCATTGGAGGAGCAGAGGTGGTTGCAGGGAGGGGAGAATCTGATTCTTGCCCTCTGCAGGGAACACAGAGCCCCTGCACGTGGAGAATTACCTTTTCCTTTGGATTGCTGTGATGCCATCAATCATCTGGTGTCAAGAAGGTGCTGAGAAGTCAGACGAGGTGCCTGGACAAGCTGCCCATCTGGTCTGGCCTTTGGCCTTGACTTTCAATCCCATTTGCATATGGCCACTGCACTAGAGAAGCATTCCTTTGTCTTTTTAAGCTCTCTCTCTTCCTTCAGTATTTGGTCTCCTCTTGCAAGCCCGACATCAGTAATTCTTCTGTTGACCTGTTGGCTCAGGTGCTCAGGTGGAAGAAGAAGGTGCTCATCTAGTGGGGGTGGCGTAAAAGACCCAAGGAATGTTCAGACCTTTCTCCATGGAGTGATCCCTTGGTGGCCTGCCTGTCACAGTATGCTGAAGAGTCCTTGCTGCCTGAGGATCAATATAAAAGCTTTCTCCTGGCTTAACCCTGGGAGGCTCTGGGCCCAGAAGCAGGAGGGTTGCAGCCATACATGCTGTGTTCTAAATTCAAATGTTTGATTTTGCTGTGCCTATTTTACAACTTTTGTTCTTGCTAAATACATCTTGGTTATTTTTCTATGTGTGTACAGTTTAGATCTGCTTAATTATTTTTATTTGTTTTATTTATTTTTATTTTTTGGCTTGAGACAGAATCTCACTATGTAGTCCAGACTGGCCTCGAACTTGCAATCCTCCTGCCTCTGTCTCCTGAGTGCTGGGATTACAGGTGTGAAGTGCCACACCCAGTTCACTTTACTCTTTTTAACAAATTAGTTAACTGTTTGATGGAACTTTTAATTTTGTTTAGGTTTTTTTAATCAGAAAGTGAAGATGTTTTATAATCAACACTGGACTTGGTCAACTTTGTTCATCTTTTCCAATCTGAAAGATAATATAAAAATATATGGATCAGAGTTTAGTTATCATTGAAGTCCACTATTTTAAATGTGTTTAATTGCCTGTACTTATCTGACTCAGTATCTTAGCATCATTAGCACATTCCAGGCTGAGAGACAGTTACTGTACCACTGCTTTGTTTTTGTACTGGAGATGAACTCAGGGCCTCATGCTTGCTAGGTAAGTACTCTACCATTTGAGCCATATCCCCAGTCCTTTTGCTTTTAGTGTGCTTTTCAGTTGGGGTTTTAGTACTAACTTTGCCCTGGCCTTGGACTGTGATCTTCCTACCTCTGTTTCCCAAATAGCTGGGATTACAGGCATGTACCACCATGCCCTAGCATCTACAACTGTTTTTCTGGGCAGTTTTTCTTGAGGCTAGGAGAAAGAGCACAAGGGTCACCCAATGTTCAACTTGTGGCACAGGGTACGTGAAGTTGCCATTGTACTAGAGAAGAGTGAGAGAGGAATAATTTTGTGGGGGGAGTGGGTGAACCCAAAGTTCTGTTTTAGTCCTGTCCCATGAAACATGCCTAGTGGGCACGCAGTCGTGGAGATCCTTCCATGTGCAGATCTGGAGTCCAGAGGAAGGTTCATGCTGGAGATGTGAAGTCAGCACTGCCTTCCTGTAGGCTGTATTTAAGATCAGTGCACCTGATGAGCTCGCTGAAGCAGAGAATACAGAAAGAAAGGGAGACGTTCACTCAGCAGTCTGAAAGCCCTGACGTCAGTGTATGAGGCATACATGACAATAAATCCCATTGTGAAGTCATGGGGTCAGCTTTAATAAGTATGGTTCTTCTACCAAACCTCCTAGCAGCTTCATACTGGCCAAGAAATTTCTAATAGCACTTCAGGGCCATGAAAACCTCGGGGGGAAATATTTAGCACAAATCCTTTCATAAACGTGTTTGTCGTTTAAGGATTTGTGGATTGGACATTGTGAACACCTGTGCTAAACATATAGTGTTTTCAATCCAATATCATTTCTGCATGCACAAAATGTCTCTAATCATAGAATTCTTCACATTTCCAGTTATCAGTAAGAATATTATGAAAGCATCCAGTTTCGCATTGAGTTTTTGTTGTTGGGTATTTTTTTTTATATTTCTGTTTTTGTATTTTTTCAGGGGTGCTGGGGTTTGAACTTAGGCTCTCTCACCTTCATAGGCTGGCACTTTATCATTTGAATAACATCTCCACCCTGGATTGATTTCTTTTTGAAACATGAATTTTCCCTTTCATTGTACTATTGTTCAGTTATGGAGAGTAAGTTTTTTGGAAATGATGGAGTCCTGAGCATCAGACTTGTACTGAGATATTGTTTATGAAAATAATACAGATGACAGGTGTACACGATGGGTGATCAGATGGACCAAACAAGGTTTACTCTTGTTAAAAACACTGTTAATATTAGTAATGGACAGTTAAAAAGAGACCCTGAAACCCATGTAGTTAGAACTCGCACAAGTAGGAGTCAAAACTATTTTCAGGTGTATTTGGAAATGAAAGGTCATGTAGGTATATTTTGGGTAACTTGTGTGTTGGGGTGTGTGTACATATGTATTTTACTACTAGTGATATCAAGTGAGTTGATTTTTGAACACCTGTGTTGAGCCAACCAGTTTTTTATAATTATATTCCCTCTCTGCCTCCTTGCCTTCTTTTCTCCTTCCCTCCTTCCCTCCCTCCCTCCTTCCTTCCCTCCCTCCTTTCTTTCTTCCCTCATTCTTTCCTTTTCTTTTTCTCTCTTTCTTTTTTGGTGGTACTGGTTTAACCTCAGAACATTCTGCTGCTTGAGTCCCTCCTCCACCCCCTTTTGCTTTAGTTTATTTTTTTAGATACAATCTCACTTTTTGCCAGGGCTGGCCTCAGACCTCAATCCTCCTTCCTGTGACTCCAGTATAGCTGGGATTTCAGAAGTGCAACACTAAGCCCAACTTGTTTGTTGAGGCAGTCTTGCTAACTTTTTTGCGGGGCTGACCTCACACCACAATCTTCCCATCTCCCACTTTCTGTTGTGACTGTGGTGATGTTACCAGTATTTCTATCTGTTCTTTTGACACAGTGTTATGGTGTATCAGCAGTGTAGTTCTAGTCACTGAAATGCATGAATAAATCAAGGTAAGTACGATTTATAAAGCATCAATCGACAGATCAGCTATTGGCAAACTTTTGTGCCACCAGTATGAATTAATTATTCTTTCAAGGGTGAGTGTCTTACCTGTGGAGGAAGATTTGAACTCACTGAAGTCACTGGTGAAGGTCAGTTGTGGACTCATTCCAGGTGGCTGTGACTGGGGATCTATTCTCTTTCTCTAACCTTAACTTCCTTTCATCCCTCTTAGCACAGTGCCTGTTTTTCCTTTGATTTTTGTGTGTGTGCACAGAGTGGAATTAAATTCGAGATTAGAAGACTCTTCACAAAAGAGCTATTGGGGGCTGGAAGTGTGGCTCAAGTGGTAGAGTGCCTGCATAGCTAGCACAAGGCCCTGAGCATCAACTCCAAAAAAGAGCTGTTGGGTCATGTATTTGATCATGTTTTCAGTTTTAGTTTTCCAATGATACTTAGTAGTAAATATAAAGAATGAGTAAAAATGAAAAGAAAAGCATGGAAGTATTTTGAATGAGACTCAATCAAATAGTGTAGGTGGTTTAAAAAGTGACTTAGCTTTTATCTTTATTATAAGAGTAAAATATAGAGGCAGGGAAGGATGAATACTAAATTGATCTTTCCAAGTGAACTTCTAATAAGCACTGGACTTAAGTGGCTAAAATTGCATTATTTCCCTTTCCTAGCCTCCTCTCCCTTCCCTTTTCCTCCCCTCCTCTACCTGCGCTCTTCCCCTTCCCTTTTTTTGTGATTGAACCCAAGGCCTCATGCGTGCTATGCAAGCTCTCTACCACTTGAGCCATATGCCTTCAGCCATTTTTGTTTCTTACTAAACACAATATTGTGGACATTTTTATTGTATCGTTAAACATACAGTTTGCATGGCTACCTTGAATTCTATCTCATGAATGAGTTACAATTTATTTGACAACTCATACTGTTAGACATTTGGATTCTAGAATAAATAATACTGTATTATATGTATTTTATACAAATATCTTTCTACCTATATTCCTAGAGATATAGTGATTCAAAGGAGATGAATATTTTTAGACATAAGAATATTTAACATATGTGTATTATAAAAACAAAGATATTTTCCATATAGGTTATAAAAAGAGTATATTTTTGATATATCTTTCCTACCACTTGATATTTTATTTTAATGGTTGCCAATTTGCAAGACAAAATTTTATTCATTAACTTGTTTACTGTTGAAATTGAATATCTTAGATATACTTATCTTTCTGTGAATTGTCTGTTTATGTCCTTTGGGTTTTTTTTTTTTGTTTTTTGGTACAGAGCAATCAGTATCATTTTTATTTCTAAAACCTTCTATAGTAAAGACATTGACACACAAATGATATATTGCAGATATCATGCCTAATTTTCCTTTAAAGGTTATGTGCTTAACATTTTTGACATAGTGGATGATTACGTTTGTATGGTCATTGTATTGGCCTTTTCCTTTGTCATGTTTGTCCATTGTTCTAGTTTTGAAATCCTCTTTGCCTTCAAAACTCTTTCCAGGACAAGGGCCAGTGAAATATATATATTTCTGCTCTGTATGATCTCATTACTTACACTCAATGTATCTGTGTAGAATTTATTTCAGTGAGAGGAAATATCAAACTTGATTTTTCCTCCATGCACTTTGGCAATTTTTCTAGCAATTGCTGTGGATAAATACAATTCTTCAGTGATTGCCTTTGTCATGTATAAAAAAAATTTAGTTTTCCCAGAATCTGTGGCAAGTCTTGCTTTTGTGCTCTTATCAATCTGCTTGCCAGTTCTTTTTTAGATCACGCCTTTTAATTGTTAATTTGTAGCATTTCCAAGGACAAGTTATTGTCCTGCCCCATTCATTCAGGCTGCTGTTTTAAGATCATGGAGAAAGGACAATAGTTAAGTAGCAGAATTAGTGGTTTCTTAATCTCATTCTTCAATTAAAGCAACAAAATCATGTTACCATAACATTTTTTTTTGGCTATAACTTGAGGCTACATATTCAGCACATTCATCTAATAGCTTTATCAGAAGATATATTTTTAAATGTATGAAGAAACACAGTTCCGTCTCTGACCACATGCTTTGAGATTTTTCTTTTTTCATCTTCTTTTGCCTAACTGATTTTAATTGCAGTGGTTTGGTGGCTTTGAAAAAAACATTACAAGTTTTATTCTATGACGATAAAGCTTGGTTAATGGATTGTTTTAGGAATAAAAATTATTCCACAATGTGTTCTTGATAAGTGTAATAAAACATTTGTTCTTATGTATGTCCTTCACAGGTCAAATAGAACTGTCATAAAAATTGTTCTTAAGTATGCTTTTTTTTTTTTTTTTTTGAGAGAGAGGGTTTCACTGTATAGCCCAGGCTGGCCTCAAACTCTCCATCCCTCAGCCTCAGCCTCCTGAGAGCTGGCATTGCAGGTGTGGACCACGATGCCTAGCTGTGTGCTTACATCACATGTATAGTATTCAATTCATTCATGCATACAACACACATTCCTGGCACCTCTCACTGTGAGCCAGGCACCAGTGTTGTGGGTGCTGGAGATGCAAGGGAGCAAGATAAGTATAACACTTGCTCTGGAGCTTAAATGCCAGAATTCAAGAAATTATCATCAAACAAATAAGTAAAAATATATAATGCAGCATAAAGTACAAATGAGTGCACCTAAAAACCAACGTAGGATGATATCACTCAGGAAATGTATTCATTTCCTAGGGCATCTGGTGGCTGAAAGCAATGAAAATTATTGTTCATCACATTTCTGGGCACTAAAAATCCTAAGGCTGGCAGGGTCTTGCCTCCTTGGGGGTTCAGGAGGAGAATTTATGTTTTGTCCCTTCTAGCTTCTGATGGCTGTTGGTGTGCTTTGACTTGTAGCAACAAGTCTGTTTGTCAGATCTCCCTTATAAGAATACTTGTCATTGTATTTAGTGCCACCTGGGTAATCCAGGATGAATGTCGCCTCTCAAAATCTTTAAATTAATCCCACTTTTACAGAGAAGCTAGTAGTCACTCTTTGATCATATTAGATAATATTCACAAGTTGCTGGAATTAGGACATTGACATATCTATTTATGTGGGGATCACCATGAAGCTCCCCACAAGGAGTCTGTGTGGATTGAAAAGAGAAGTAGTCCCAAGACTGAGCTCTGAGTCATCCCAGTGTTCAGAGGCCCAGGAGAAACCACAGAGCCAGTAAGGCAACCGAGGCAGACCAGTTAGGCAGTAAGGAGGAGGGTTACCCTGTGGCACAGTGTGACACATGTTCAATAAGAGGAGTGATTAACTGTGTGAAAGACTGCGGACTGATTGGAAGTCAGGATGGAAGTGGACAACAGGATGACATTGACTCTTAGACAGGGTTGTTGGTAAACTTGCCAACTGTGTTCAGAGAGTGATGTACCTTCATCTACTGTGCTCCTCAATGCCAAATCCAACCTCCACTGGAATATCTTCCTGTTTTAGCTGTAGGATCAGTGGCTGGCCAAGTGTTTAAAATGTACGAAGTTATATCCTGATTTCATTTTCTTTTCTACTTGAAGTTCGATGGATGAAGGTGTTGTGTCAATAATTTTATTTCTTCAAACAGCTGCTACAGGCTCATGGCAGAAATGTTGTAAGTTATAAAGAAAAATAAAGTGGATTATTTAAAGTTTCATCTAAAGTGCTGCCATTGTTTCCTAGGACGTTTTATGTTTGTTCATTTTCTTGGAGTGTGGGACTCCAAAGCTTCTCTTAAAAACTTCATTGGATTAAGTGATATACTTGCTTAGCAGTAGGCAAGGAGTAATGTTACAACAAAATGTCACCCTATGCCTTTTGGGTTGGGTATAGTTGATTTGAATAGCTGGGCATGTAACCTGCCACAAGGCTGACCACAACTGTTGGTAAGGAGACCCCCTCAGGTAGACAAGGACTGTTCTGGTGAGGGGCATGCATTTGCTCCATTTTGACAGCTGTTAACAGTTCAGAATCCTCCAGTTCCCAAAGACAACAGGTAATTCTAAAACCGTGTTATAGTCTTCTAAAACAATGGCTGCATTGGAGGACAAATACAATGAACTAAATTTTAAAAGTTATTTCCAGCTTTTAATAGAGCAACCATGAACAAGTGTTTGGACTTAACAAAAACAAGTCTGTGTATTTCCACTTTCAAGGCCTTTCTCAATCAATATCCATGGAAACATGCTCTCAAAAGACAGTGTTCTCAATTTGTCACCATGGATGTTGATAGGGAGAAATCCTTACCCAGATGTTAATATGGGCCAAGTGACAAAAATTCTTTACATTTCAGAAAGCTAATAATGGAATAAGGCTCATCTTAATATCATATCAGTATTCTGCAATTTTATCTTGGCTTCATTGCAATTGTGAAACAGACTTGGGGAGAATAGTTTTGAGTTGGAATAAGCTTAGAATCATCAGCTTCATCTTAATCTAAAAGAGATAAATTGAGATGAAGGTAAGGAGTCCAGGAAGGAATTGAGAGTGTTGGGATGTGGCTCTGTGAGTAGACTTGGGAGTGAACTCCTGAGGTCTCTTTCAGGTGCCCAGTTCTCACCATGAGATTGTGATCATGGAGTTTGACCAGTTGCTTCTTGCTTGGATTTAAATAGCCATGTCTGGACAAATGGTCTAGTGAGCTTCTTTACTAATCAAGATTTCCTCTTGAAACTTTGAAAAAGCCATTTCCACTTTCTGTTTTTCAAATTGCCTGAAATTTTGTGCCTCAATCAATGGATATTGGACAAAGTAAGCCTCTTAAAAATTCCAGTTTAATTCCAGGCATTCAAGACCCACGATTATAGGTAGAATATGTTGTTAGAGAAGAGTAGGTCAGTGTTTCTAAGGAGATGGGTAAAAACAGAGAGGAATACATTCTTATTTTATGATTCTGAGATAATCATAATGGTGGTGGATAATGAGATAATGGCGGTAGAATCTGAACCCCCAACATAAATGGTGATCAGTACTTATTCTGCTTTTGACTCCTCATATTTTGCTCTGCTAAAAGTCCAGATTAGAAAAGGTCTTTAAGTGAAAACAAGGAAACTTGTTATATGAACACTTGTTCATATATTCTATCAATGACAGAGAATGAATTTCAGAATTTAGTTCATTGTACATGTCTTCTAATTCAGCCAGAGTTATTGAGATCACCATACAGTTTTAGAAGATATATTTGTTGTCTTTAGGAACTTAAAGTTTCTCAATTATTAACAGCTGTCAGAATGGAATATAACAAATGGTTTGGGAGGTTAGTTCTTTGTAGTGGGGGGAATTTGTGGGTTTTCTGGTTCAGCCCATCTAATGAGAAAAATAATTTACAAATATGTTAGCTGGTTGTACAGGATGAATAATTTTGCCAGAAAGTATGAGGAAGATGAGAGTGAAGATAAATTTAAAAAGCTACATGATCAGCTGAAACAATGGACAATGAAAGGCAGAAAATAGTATTGGAATTGTTAGGGGTTTCCTTAGGCACAGGAGTTCTCAAGGTAGGCACTACTGACGCTGTGAGCCTTTTGTTGTGGAGTCTGTCCTGTGCATGGAGAAAATTTCACAGCATCTCTGACTTCAGCCCACAGGATGCCAGTAGAACCTCCTCCCCCACTGTGACAACCCAAAATACCCCCAGGCAATGCCAAATGTCTTCATGTGAGAACCACTGAGTTGCTACACAAATATGCCTCAAAGTCAGATTCTAATTATAAGCTCAAGATAGCACTGCAGGAAAGGACAGAAAGGGACATAAGAAGAACCTGGTTGCTGAACATGTTTTAAGGATGGAGTTTCAAGTAGGAAGCATTATAATTAAGGTATATAATTAAGGACTTTGCATATATTTTTTCCAATCTAGACTTAAATGAGTATAATAGGAAAAATGCAGGTGATGTGGGTTGTCTTTATTTTGCTTTCCCTCTCCCTCCCAAAAGCCTGATATGCAGGACTGCCAGAGTTCAAGTTCAAAAGTAATCTGGCAATAGGCTGGTAGTGGGTCTAACTTTCCATTTGCTTAAGTTTCATTGCATAGTAGAGGCTGTGTGGGTGCCTGTACAGTCTTACGTGCTTGCTTCATGTGGTGTAGACTAAATGGCACTTGTGGCAGAGATGGTTGTTTTCATCAAATATCTCCATGAAACATGTGATGTTTTCCCAGCTTCCCTTGCAGTGAAGTTGGAACCATGTAACTAATTTTCTCTCTCTTTCTAGTGAACTTAACTTTGTCCTAACTTTGTGGCTGAGATCAAAGTGCCCCTTCCATCTTTCTTCTCCTCTATCAAAGTGAATTGGGGACCTTGCAAATATTTGTCATCATGACCCAAAGAAATAGCTGCTCCTTTCTGTCATGTTCTCTGCTCATTTTCTGGAACAGCTATTAGTTAGATATTGGGCTTTCTGAGTGGATCTGTTCAATTCTTTCATTTCCAGTTGTCATCACTGTATCTATTTTTCTGCTTTCTGGAAGCCACTTGGAATTTGACAATATGGAATAGAAGGTTCAGCTAAGCCACAGGGCTCAGGAGTTACTACTTTATGTCAATGATGGAACCACCACATATATGTGAAGTGGACAGGTATTTGGAAAGGTTTCACACATGACCTAGCATATTCCGCTTTGGAGGAGGGTCAGGAGACTTGGAGACATTTTTTCAGTAAATAAAAGATGAAGTGACGAGACATCAGATTTGGATGCATTCCCTCTCTCTCTTACAACTTACTCATATAAATAGAAAAGTGTCAAATGTGCATAACCACTGAACTTCAATAATGTTAGAAGATCACTAGCCTAGGTAGGATGGGTCCCAATGACAGACTGCTAGAGAACTGGCATGAAATGTCAAGAGGCCATTTTTGAACTGCCACTGTGATGCCAGCATGTTTATGGACACACCACAGGAATATCAGTGGGGTCAGAGGTTAGCTTAGCTGCTTGCTGGGTTAGAACTGATACCACCCCAGCATGCTCATCTGATAGGGTCCCCCAGCAGTTCAGATTAAGTCCTTGTGAATCTGTGCACAGGACCCTAATGATGGATAGTTTCTTCATTGTGTCCCCTAAGTGCTGCTCCAAGGTCGCCTCTATCCCACCTGCTGTCCAACTCGGCCCAGGACTCTGCAGCACTGCCAGAAGTAAACATATGTTTTGAATTGCTATTCTTAGCGTGCTGAAGCCTTGCACTGGCTTCCTTCCCACTATGCGAGGACCTTTCACTGGCCTCCTTCCTTTATCCAGCCTACTCACACTGTGTTTGCTACTTGCTCTCTCTCTCTCTCTTTCTCTTTCCTTGCCAGGGAGAGGAAGACAGAGAGAGAGAGAAAGGTGATTCACACAACTTTTATATCAATATGTTGTTATAATTGTTCTATTGTTCTTAATTTCTTCCTTATAAGTTATAATTTATCATACATCTATATGTATAGGAAAAAACTTAATATATATAGGGTTCAGTGCTATTCAATTTCAGTCACACACTGGGGTCTTGGAGTGCACCCCCTTGGATAAGGGGCATCTACTGTACATATAACTCAACAGTCAGGATAAGTAAGTGCTTCTATAATTCCTTTTGTTCCATCCTTTCTGCTGGGCACAGTTTTGCTGCTAGCATAAATGGCACTTATGGGATAAGAACCAAGTGTCTGTCCTCCTGCAGCCATGGTCTCTGTATCAGTGCACCTATTTTGCTCACATACCTGCTGGGCAAGTCATGCAGTATTCAGTTGGCACAGTGTGTAGGGTGCTGACTGGGGCATTACTTCCAGAAGGAAACCTGGCCTGGAGACACACATCTCACACTCTAGGATGAATCCAAGTCATTGACTTGCATTTCTATAATCATAGCACTTACTTTCTTGATTTCTTTGTTGTCTTGCTGCTCTCAAAGGGTGGGTTGACATATTGAACTCATCCAAGGCCTAGGTAATAGAAAGCTTTCTGTTGTGAAGTCCTTAAAGCTGTATGGATGTTTTTAAACCCTTGAGATTGGATGAGACCACTTAGGGATAGTGAAAAGCAAACGACAACAACAAAAAGAAAAACCAAACCACCTGTTGTTGAGCCTGGATAACAGCAGACTTTCAGAGATCACCTGAAAGTATGGAACTGGGCAAAGGAGATGGAAAGGGAGAACTCTCTGAGGGAAGAGGGTAGTAGGGACAGAGTTGTCAGAGAAGGTGAGAGAGAGGAGAGAGAGAAAACCAAAACTCATGCTTTGTGAGTAGCTAGGGGTCTGGCTTGGTTGGGCCAATCATTACCATAATTCATGATCAACTGAAAAGCAGAGCTAGCGTTTCTGTCATATTGTTGATCAACTTCCTGTCTTATAGGTAAAAGCATCCGACGCAGATGCAGGGCTCTACGGCTTTGTTGAGTATTCTCTTTATGATGGATTCCAAAGTGACAAGGCACCTCCAGCATTCCAGATTGACCCACACGATGGGCGAATCTGCGTGTTGCAGGATATCGACAGGGAACAGGATCCAGCCACTTTTGATCTGCTGGTGAAAGCTAAGGATGGGGTAAGTCTTTCTGTATGAAGCCTCAGACATCCTCAAAAGGACCCACAGTGTGTCCATCGCAGAGTTCCAATGATTATCGGCAAGTAGCTAATCATATTTTATGTAGCTGTCACCTCTTTCCTTTGCTGGAGTTTTCGAAGCAAATACCAGACATTGTATCATTTTATCCATTAATAATTAAATAATACCTGTAATAGATAATGTCTTTTAAAAACATAGTTATGTACATTAACAGCAATTACTTGATAATGTCTAATATCCATTTTAAATGTTCTGGTTTATATAAGTATATCTTTTAATAATTGGTTTCTCTGAATCCACATCCAAATAAGTCCACAAATTATTGACTGATAGGTCCCTTAAGTTTCAAACTGTAACAGTCAGTCCTCCCACAGCCTTTTCTCCTATGATATTATTGTTTTTAAAGAAATCAGGTCATTTGTCCTGTAAGTTTTCCGTATGTTGAATGTGATTGATTGCATTCTTGGGATTCATTTAATTTGCTTCTCTCCACTATTTTCTATGAACTTATATTTGGAGTGGGGACCTGATTAGTTTCAGGTTCATTGGGGCAATGTTGTGGCCTTCCTATTGTGTGGGCAGACACCATGTACCCATTATTTTACTGGGGTTGCCAAATGGTATTATTGAATTCTGTTATTCTGTTTGCATATACTATCTGGGATGCTTAAAAATATGCTTTTATCAACTATTTTGTATGAAATATAATTCATACAGGAAAGATAGTTCACCAGTTTTTAGAATCGTGAGTTTGTGCTTTAATCTCCAAAGGTGACCAGTTGTTTTCCTGCTTTGGTTATAAGACCCTGGATTTCTTTATATCTGATTTTTCACCCTGTGTTGACCTATCTTTTTTGATGTTCACATTGACCCTACTTTATCAGTGAAGGTATTTTTGATTTGGTCCTATGTCTTTAAAAAAAATTCTTAAGTTGACATCTAAAATACATACAGAACAGTGCAAAAATCATAAATAAATAGCTTCAATTGATTTTTGCAAAATGAAACACTCAAGAAGCAGATGAAGAAGCAGAGCCAGCAACCAGAAGTCCCTCTATGGCCTTTCACTGCAACTTTCCTCCCCCTCCTCCTCTCACCCCACTCTTCAAGAGTAACCATTATTGATTTCCAACACCAAAGGTTCCTGAGCTGGCTTTTTAACTTTCAACAAATGGAATCATCAGTGTATGTTTCTATTTAGTTTCCTTTGCTGAGCATTAATTGTGAGAATCATTTATGCTGGTGGGTGGAGCAATAATTCACTCATTCTCTTTGCTTTATGGTATGCCTTTGTGTGGATACATGAGAATTTTCTGTCTATTCTATAATTGATGGCATTCACTTTAGGTTATTACAAGTGATACTTCCATTAATATTCTTTTTTAAAAATTAAATTTATTTTTAACTGATAAATAAAAACATGAAGTTGTACATAGTAATGGGATCCCAAGCATTGCTTTGATGCCCACATAGATTATAAGTTTAAATCAGGCTAGATATATCTATCTCCTCAAACATTTGTTATTTCTTTATGGTAGAAAGCATTTGAAATTCTTTCTTCCTGTTTTTTGATATATGCAGATATTATTGTCAACTATAATCATCCTACCATGCAATAGCACACCAGAATTTCTTACTCTTATCTAACGGTAACTTAGTACCGTCGACCAACCTTTCCACAACCCTCCCTCCCTACTACTCTTTTCATCCCCTGTTAACCTCCATTCTCAACTCCTACAAGATCAGGCTTTTCTTTTTGTTAGAATCTCCATATGAGTGAGACTATGCAGTACTTGTCTTTTGTAGTTGGACATGACACTTAGCATAACAATCTCTAATTTTGTCCATGTTGTCACAAATGACAGGATTCCCTTGTTTTTGTGGGTACATAGTATTCCAGTGTATACCTCCTTTTCTTTATCCATTCATCAGTTGATGAATACTGCAGTTGTTTCCATTTTTTGGCTATTGTTAGTAATGCTACAATGAACATGGTAGTACAGCTCTATTTGCCACACAGATTTCATTTCCTTTGGATTTGTACCCAGTGATAGGGTAGTTAGGTCATATAGTACTTCTATTCTTAATTTTTTGAGGAATCTATATACTGTGCTCTATAATGGTTGTACTAATTTATGTTCTCACAAATAGCGTGCAAGACTTCCACTCTATATCCTCACCAGTACTTAGCTTTAGTCTTTTTGATAGTAGCCATTCAAATTGGAATAAGGTGATAATCAGCGTTTTCCTGATGATTAGTGATGTTGAACATTTTTCATATACATGTTCACTGTTCATATGTCTTCTTTTGAGAAATGTATATTTAGGTCTATTGTCCATTTCTTATTCAGATTATTTCATTTTTTACTATTGAGTTGTTGGAGTACTTTGTGTATTCCAGATATCAATCTCTTGTCAGATGTGTAGTCTGTAAGCTCTGTTTTTACTCTGTTTAATTGTTTTCTTTACTGTGCAGAACTTTTTTAGTTTGATGTAATTGCATTTTTCAATTAATATTCTTATACTTCTGATTTGGTGAACAATTGTAAACATTTCTGTTGAGTATATATTTAGGAGTAGAATGTCTAGATCATCAGAAAGTCAAACGCTTTTCAAAGTGGTTTACTAACTTATACGACCATTAAAGGAGTATGAAAATTTCACTTGCTTTACGTCCTCCCCATCTTTTTAATTATTATGATTCCTATCTTTTTAATTATTATGATTCTAGTACCTGTGTGTGAAATATCACCTTGGATTTTTCTTTGCATTTCTTTGATGACTAATGAATTGAGCATTTTTTCATATCTGTATTAGCTATTTGTATAACTTAAATGTGCCTATTTAATTCTCTATTTTCCATTGCATTGATCTTTTTCTACTGATTTATATGCATGCAAGTCCTTTGTTGGATACATTTACTGTGTGTACTTTCTCCTATTTTATGGCTTCCCTTTTTTTGTTCTTAATGGTGTCTTTTGTGGAGCAGAAGTTCTTAATTCCAACAGAGCTCAATTTGCTTCCCTTTACATCCAGTGTCCTTCTTAAGCGTGTCCTCTTAACAAGCATATGCTCACCTGGGGAAATGAAGGTGTCCTCTTCTGCTTTCTCCTAAAATCTTTTGTGTTTTTCCTTTCACACTTATTCTTTTTCAATCTAATGGGAGGAAGTTTTGTTAAATTTTTTCCAATATGGATATTCAGTTAACCTAGCACCACTTATTGAAAGGATTATTCTTTTTTCACTGCACTGAAGTGTCACTATTATCATGAATCATGTGACTATATATGTGTGTCTGCTTCTAGACACTCTTTTTTTTTGACAAATTTATCTGGCTTTGTGCTAGCAACATATTCTCTTAATAACTTTAGCTTAAAAAATAGACATGATATCATGTATTCCTTTAGCTTGATCTTCATTAAAGATTGCTTTGATGTTTTCTGAATGTTTTACAGTTCCAGATATGTTTTAGAAACATCTTGTTCAATTTCCACAACTACAACAAAGATGGGTGCATCTTAGGTCATTAAAAATTACCTTATTTTGAAGACTTTAAAAAAAATCTGCTTACATTCTTTTGTGAAGATAAGTATTGGTCTAATTTTTCTCTTTTGATTTTGGTGGAAGAATCTGCCTATTTAAGACATGAGTTATTGGGGAAAATGAATCTAATTATACTTATTACATGTAAGTATATAGAAACTAACATGAAAAGAAACTCATTTATATTCAATAAAATATCTATGATCTATTTGGCTAGATTTTTCAATACTTTACTATGTAGTTTCAGAAATTCTTGATTCTATGTAAGAAAATATGTAGAAAACAAAATGCAGGAATAAGCAAGAATTCTAGGATAATTAAAATCTATGCAATTACTTAGAACTCAGTATGTTCCTACAGAAATATTAGTTCATAGCTTTAGAAATACATTCTTAATAGATTTGGGGGCAACTCTAAAGGGCCATCCTAGAATTGAATAACTGGTTTAAACCCGATACTGCATTAGTCAAATTATTTGGTTCAGATGATCTTGTAATAATATGTGTAGAAATTATCTTTTAAATGAGATAATTTGATGCCAGAAAACTTTTACCTCCCCTCCACAGTAGTGCATTAATAAGGAGCATTGGCAGTGGAATTTTTGAAAATCAGTGCAGACATTTAATTTAGCCCCCTTGCTTACTTCTATGCCATACTCCTCAGATGTACTCCATGAAGAATGGAGTCCCTCTTGCATTATTCAAGTGCAACTTTGATTGCTTCATCCCTCCATGAAGATCCCCAGTCTGAACAAAGGGGATACAGTTTTCTTGCTTAAGAAAATATATTATTTTAAAGATAACTAAAAAAGTGTTTACAAACTTACTGTGGAAACTTTCACTATTTTTTAAAAAATCAAAGATGAGACAATCTTCAGGCTGGTAAATCCAAACAGTCTGGAAAAACTCCTTGTTTTGTAGAAACTCTTCAAAAAAGAGCATTTTCCAGTTTTAGTAGAATAAAAACATCTTTCCCGTGGGTTCATCACATTAAATTCTCACTGTCCTTTTTTGGGTGACCCCATCTTAAGCCCAACACTGACACAGAGGAGAGCCACTCTGTATTCTGCTTGTCTTAATGTAGATTTTATTATTATTATTTACATACAGTAAGGATCACAACTCAGGAGGCAACTGCTATTGCAAAAATAGTTTGTTATACTCAGCCCCTAAGAGGAAGAGCATGTGGACTGTACCAGTGGCAGTGGTGGGTGATGGGAAGGGGGAGCACGTGCACACAGGGAAGTATCCTGTTGTCCAGGAAGCCTGGGGAGAGAGGGCAAATGTGAAATAGAGCTCTTACTGTGGCTTCCGGGGGAAGGAATGGGCAAGGCAGGACAAACAGGTTTATGATTGGCTACTTTGAGTAGTATCTGCAGGCTCTGGGGTGTAAGTGTAGTCCCTAGTTGTCTAGTATCTGGAGTATAAAAGCTTTAT